GAGCTAGTTTTCTGAAAATTTGAATAAATTTCTGGCATCACCTGTATTATCTTTATTTGATTGCTCTTTTATTGGAAACCTTCAAAATATTTGTGGTCACTAGGTTTCTTTCCTTTGGTGGTGCTGTGCCTCAGAGACCAGTGGAAGACCTTGCATTTGCCGTAGCACGCTTCTTTCAGCGAGGTGGAACTTTCCAAAATTATTATATGGTATTGCAATTGCCTCTGTAGTTACTAACATTTTAGCATAACTTTAGGGGACTGTCACGATTTAGGACAATTCAGTATATTTCAGAAACCAGGAAGAAAATATGAAGTGATTTGTTCTCTGTTGCTCTTGAACAGTACCATGGCGGGACTAACTTTGGGCGGAGTACTGGTGGACCCTTTATTGCTACAAGCTATGACTATGATGCTCCAATTGATGAGTATGGTATGTTGTCTAGTATCCCTGTATTATTGCTTTACTACTGCTCATGATGTAGGCATATTTGCTTATTGTATGTATATACTATATAGAACTGTGTGCTCATCAGTGCTATATAAATGAAATGCAGCTTCTGTCAACACTAAGCTTAGGGTATAGGCAATGGTTATAATGTTACGATATACTTTTATAATGAGGAGAGAGTAATTAAGAACATCAATGCATATAACATGGATGGCTCATCAGTAATCGATTCAACCTTTTCATGTTGCAGGACTTCTTAGACAACCTAAGTGGGGTCACCTAAAAGATGTGCATAAGGCCATAAAGCTTTGCGAAGAAGCGATGGTGGCCACTGACCCAAAATATTCTTCTTTTGGTCCAAACGTTGAGGTATGGTGTTTTTACTCAGTGTTACAGAGTATCTTTCGTGGCTATGATGAGAAATGTTACATAAACTTCTAGGCCTCAAGGTCCTCCAGTCTAAGTGCATGCCCCCTGTATAGCCATATCCATTGTGGAATTGATCACCCATACCTGTTCATTTGTGGTGTGAAGCAATAGAACATACATGTTATTCATGTTTGAATATCTGAGAATAAATGTATGGAACATCTGAACTTCCTAGTCTTCATTTTAGAATATCTAAAAGGAAGTATCTGTGGATGAAGTTTCTTAAAATTGATGCTGCAAAACTAGTGCCAAGTAAAAAAACTGGATGGTTTTAGCTCCAAAACTAGTTCTTAGGATCTCCAAAACGTAATCGTAGATGACCTGTGGCTTCTGGTCATCACCTGTATGCTTTGTATATCTGAAAAGAAGTGGTATTCTATCGGTCTAGGTGAATGTCCTACAACATGATTTTTCTAACATGTATTTTCTTTTTTTTGTTTATTCTCATCCTCAGACAACTGTTTACAAAACAGGATCAGCATGTGCTGCGTTTCTTGCTAATTCTGACACCAAATCTGATGCCACTGTGACTTTCAATGGAAATTCTTATCACTTGCCTGCATGGTCTGTGAGCATCTTACCAGACTGCAAAAATGTAGTGCTTAACACTGCAAAGGTTTGCCTCCCCATCTTCTATCGCGTTGTGCTTGCATGTATTTGGAGAAGATTACCTATATTTATTTCTTCAGGTCTAGAGAGTATCAGAATATTTTGTATTCTATATGTATAATATATTATGGTTACCTTTTCTTGGTCTGGTCAAGAGATGAGTTATCTTCACAACGTTCTATATTTACCACTTGAAAATATCGGTCCCTACTTTGTATATCTCTGTGTATCCCAAATTCCATTGAGGGTTATTTTCAAAAATACTATATATGTAATGCTGTTGTTTAGTGTGTCTCGTATGTCATATTTGGTATACATTTCCAAGGGATATTGCAAGTATTTTCTATTGAAGCCTTCATATATATAAGTAGTATGCTCATAAGTTTTCTTTTTTCATTGGAATCGTCTTATAAGCAAAACTATATAATCTATCATGACAGATTAACTCTGCCGCCATGATTCCAAGCTTCATGCATCACTCAGTGATAGATGATATCGATTCCTCTGAAGCTTTGGGCTCAGGCTGGAGTTGGATAAATGAACCAGTGGGTATCTCAAAGAAGGATGCATTTACCAGAGTTGGATTGTTGGAGCAAATAAACACCACAGCTGACAAAAGTGATTATTTGTGGTACTCTTTAAGGTAGGCAATCCACGAATGCTTTGTTACTAATTTTGAATATATTTATTTCCTTTCATCTGGTTGTCTTGATTTCTTTCAAGACTTAAATCCGTTTTCTAAACAAATTCTGCAGCGTTGATGTCACAAGTTCTGATACATTCCTTCAAGATGGATCTCAAACCGTTCTTCATGTGGAATCACTTGGCCATGCCCTTCACGTGTTTATTAACGGAAAGCCTGCAGGTGATGTATAAAGTTATAAACTAGTGTGGCTATAATTTGATTGCTTGCCCTTCTTCCTTGGTCTTCATCCAGCAGCAATATTTGTTTCCTGGTAATAGACGTTGACACATCTTGGGAAACTACGAAGGAAACCATAATTTTATTATCCCTAAACCTTTGTAGTTTGGAGACGCAGGCCTTCAAGGCTGAGAATCTGATAGGGCTTTGAACGCGACTATGCTAATATTGCTGTCCAATCTGAGTTTTAAATTCCCCACGCCATTCTGTTTTATAGACTTTAAGAACACTAAACATAGTTTCTGCTTACTGTATTGCAAAAGAAGATGTCAGAATACTGTCATAAGGCACCATGTAAAATGAGGTTTTAATCTCAAAATATAGTGGTTCTATGTTTATTTCTTTCTGGGAAAAGCCTCCTACCAAAGGTTAGATACTAAGACAAGCCTGATGATAAGGTTCACGCTTCACAGTTGCGAATTTCAGATCTGAATGAGAGTTATTGGCAAGTATTTAGTGCATTGCTTGAACTATTGCAACTGTTCTGGCTCAACTTTACAACTGTTCTGCTCTTGTATTTATGTTTTAGTTGGATTCTTTTCAGGGAGAGGAATAATCACTTCTAAGAATGCCAAAATTTCTGTGGATATCCCTGTCACATTTGCATCTGGGAAGAACACAATAGATCTTCTGAGTTTGACTGTCGGCCTTCAGGTTTCACCTTATTTTTTATTATATTCTGGAATTGCAGTTTTCATAAATGAATGCCATCCTTTAAGGTCAATTTCTGACCACGTATTGTTTTTTGTATATCAATTTTTCAATCAGAACTATGGAGCCTTCTTTGACAAAGCAGGTGCCGGAATCACTGGTCCTGTGCAGCTGAAGGGCTTGAAAAATGGCACTACCACTGATCTCTCGTCTCAGCAATGGACCTATCAGGTCAGTCTTCCTATTTTGTTTTGTTGCAATTCCCTGATAACTTGAAATTTCAAAAACCGAAAACAAAAAGAAAAACACCCAAGTTCTTCAATCTGAATAAGTAGTGGCGTACCTTCAAAGGACGAAGTCTAACAATTTTCCTTTTGTCGTCTTCATCATTGCGGCTGCAGATTGGACTTCAAGGGGAAGACTCGGGTTTTTCCAGCGGAAGTTCTTCTCAGTGGATTTCACAACCTACCTTACCCAAGAAACAGCCCTTGACATGGTACAAGGTAAAAGTTTAGCATAATAATTATGTATAAGGGTAAGGGTGGTGAAAAACGATGTGATTTTGAGGAGAAATTGCAGGGACAAAATGTATTTAACCTTTCTAATACTGCTACATGTGGTGCATGTGTTGTATTTTCTTGCGTGTTCATGCTTGGATGTGGTGCATTCTGAGTGATATGGGTTTCCTCAAGTCTTGGCTGCTCATGATTTAGATACTAACCGAAGAAATATTCTTTCTCATGCAGGCAACATTTAGTGCTCCTGATGGCAGTAACCCTGTTGCACTAGACTTTACAGGGATGGGAAAGGGTGAAGCATGGGTGAACGGACAAAGCATTGGGCGGTACTGGCCGACCAACAATGCACCAACTAGCGGTTGCCCTGACTCTTGCAATTTCAGAGGACCTTATGACTCCAACAAATGCAGAAAGAACTGTGGAAAGCCATCTCAGGAATTGTAAGCGTTAGAGATTCTAAGGGAAAAACTTGAATTGAAACTTTGATTCTGAATATTTGATATCACTAAACGTACAGGTACCATGTGCCTCGTTCATGGTTGAAACCAAGTGGCAATACTCTTGTCCTGTTTGAGGAAATTGGGGGTGATCCAACGCAGATATCTTTTGCTACAAGACAGATTGAAAGTTTGTGCTCACATGTATCGGAGTCTCATCCGTCACCTGTTGATACATGGAGTTCAGATTCAAAAGCGGGAAGGAAGTTAGGGCCTGTGCTATCACTAGAGTGCCCATTTCCTAACCAGGTCATTTCTTCAATCAAATTTGCAAGTTACGGAAAACCTCACGGGACCTGTGGGAGCTTTAGCCATGGCCACTGCAAGAGCACTAGCGCTCTATCCATTGTACAGAAGGTACGATCTTGCTTGCTACATTGATAAAATTCTTCGCACCTCCAAGTATTGTCTCCTCTTTGTTTACTATCGATTCACATTGTTTTACTGATGAGTGCTACCTTTTGAACAGGCTTGCGTTGGATCCAAGAGTTGCAGCATTGAAGTCTCGGTTAAAACGTTCGGTGACCCGTGTGAAGGAGTAGCAAAGAGTTTAGCAGTAGAAGCATCCTGTAGATAGACATCGTTCCTGTCTTTGAAAATTTCTTGTGGTATATGGTTAACTTGTTATCCCCAAGTTTCATTATAGTTGAATAATGTCATTCTCAAGGAGGCTATTGAACAGTAATAAAATTCTCAAATATATATAAGACTCTTTCGGTTTGGCGAAGATCCTATCTTCCGATAAACCGGACGGGACATGTTACACCTATCAGTGTCGGTGTTCCATTCGGGTGGTTCCTCGGGCCCAAAATTGATAGGGAAGTTGCCATCCCTACAATTAAGCAAGGTTACTTGCAAGACAAGATTCCAACATTATTTTTCTCTCTGCCTAGATCTATAGAAAAGAGTGAACACATTTCAATCAAAAGCTTAATTTGCAGCCCTTATTTGTTTATTCCTTAATTTCATGTTTGAAATGCTAACAAATTACACAAAATACACAAATAAAGTGTTTGTTACTGTTGATCAGCATCAGTACTGAGCAATTCCTCCAGCAGCTGCAAGCTCAGGCTGTTTTTGGAACCTGCAAACCTTGCAGAGAGGCGAAAAGAGGGATGAAGTCTCGTACTTGTCCTCCCCGCCTGCCATTGGCATCGGGACTCCGACCTTGACCGGACTAACGTAACCTGGCCGGTAAGTCTTGCCCAAAACTCCCTCCACAAGATCGGATAAATTGGTAAACCTGAACTGTGTCTCCAAGTGAGCAAATGTGTCATCAGCTGGTATTTGGTAGTTATGAACCTTGTTTTCCTTTTCTCCGATAGGCCTAACCCTTATGTCCATTTCGACGAGGCCGGCCACTGTAACCCTAACGTAGTTGGTGTCGTCGGTTCTTTCCACTACTACCTCTCTATCTTCGCCGTTAGTCCTCCATTCAGCATCTCCATCAGTGGGGACGGTAACAACTTTGTCGTCCCACTTTACCATGAGAGCATCAACTTTGTCATCCCACTTTGAGACCCTCTTTGCTGCGATGACAAGGGTGTGAGAGTCGAACATCACTGCGAAAGCCTGAACCCATGTGAAATCCCGGGTCCTTCCTGTTGGTCGAGTCCCGATGAAGTGTGCGTTGATTTGGAGGTTGGTGTCTGAAACAATGGCAAAGTTTCCCCCCTTGGCTCCATGGAAGTAGAACATCACACCGTCACCGCCAACAAACCTAGGATCGTAGCACAGAGAGCCATATCCGTCACACTTGGATTTCCTATCTGCACAGAAGAAAAGAAGATCTAGTTTTAGTAAAAGTTTCAAAATATATGATCTAGTTGAATTCTTTTTGTCAGTTGCGTAGTTAATTGAAAGAACAAAGAAGAAGGGTGAAATGGCTTACACTTGCAAGTAGCTTCACACTTGCTACCGCAGTTAATGAAACAACCCTTGTTCTTCTTGTTCTTCTTCGGCTTTCTCTGAGGGCATTCCGACGGGCACGTAAGGGTCTTGTAATAGCAAGCCCCCTTTGCTTTGCAGAACCCTCGCTCCTGCCCGGATCCCAGTGGTGTCAACACGTCGTAATTAGCCTCATCGGCTTTTTTGCCATTTGCGTTCCCGTTTCCATTGCCTTGCCCCATAACCAAGGCGGCTTCCATCGAAACAAGGACGACGAAAACAGCCACCAAAATATGTGACATTTTAATCGTAGGCGCCATTTCTGGCTGCCAAATATGTATGCTTCTCTTCTCCTTCTGTTGATTGTAGTTTGTGTTGTGAGCTGAAGAATTGATGGGAAAGAAATGGTCCGACAAGAGATTATATAAGGGAGTGACGAGGGAGGAAACCCTAGCATTAGCCTTGGGATTCGACTTAATGCTTGTGCTCATATTGCTTCTACATGTAATCAAACAGCTTAGAACCAGCAGTTTTGGCTAAGCATTGGGATTGCTTCCAATTTTTTATTTGTGTATTTTGCATCGCACATTAGCATTTCTTTCGGCTTCCTCAAAGCGTTGTTATCGAGGGAAAAAATGGCCGACTCCCGAAAAAATAATGAAATTTGCATGTGAAAGTTGCAAGAAAAGTCTTATATATTTGTAATTAAATAAAAGTTTTCTATCCCAAACACTATCACATTACCGGGAAATTTTTCATTATGTCAAAATACTGTTTGGTATATAAAGTTTCATAATACAAATAGTTCATATTTGAAAAATAAACTTGAAACTTAAACAAATTAAGAAATTTAACGGTAGGAACCTTCAAATTTTCGATTTGTTAAATTTTTTTGGGAAAATTAGAATCTCTTATTTTTCTATATCATTTAGATTAAGCATCTGTACCTTTTTAAAATTTGATTAAAGTGCTTTGACCAATAGTCACATCTACTTTTTAAAATTAAAATAATTTTTGAATTTATCATTTTATTTGCAGGATGCAATTTTCCTTATTTAGTGGAGATTTTAGTAATTAAACTATATTTTCTCTTCTTCCAAAAATGTTTTTTCGATCACAATTTTTTTAATGCAAACATTTAATATTATTTCTTTTTCTAAATGGTTTTTTCTTTTTCAAATGGTTGGTGATCAACACAAAAGCTCCGTGTAATTTTTTCAATTTTTTTTGTGAAATTATATTTTTTTTTATGTTTGTTTAAGTATAGTTGGTGACGAATTATTATTAGGTATAATATATTGTGTATATATTATCTGTTGGTAACTTTGAATTTACAAAAATCATTAATTGGTACATTTATTTGCAATTTTGGTACGTTTGATTTGATACATATTGTTAATATTGGTATATTATTTTTATTTTTGTACGTTTTATTTTGCACACATTGTGTATTGGTACGTTTATATTATTCTCAATCCTATTTTCTCTTAACGTACTAAAAAAAAAACTCATTTCAGTACGTTTGATTTTGGAGGATTTAAAAATATTTTAAACTATTTTGGAAAGAAAATATCTTCAATCGTAGATAATTATTGCTAAATTGTAGCATTATTGTGAAAAAAAATTGAATCTAACCAACCTTTTTTTTTTTTACAATTATCTCTAACGGAGGAGAGTGTAATCAAAAGGCTAGATTATAGGAAATTTGTTACAATACAATGTCCATATAGCACCAAAATTATGACCAAAAAAAAAAAAAGAAGTTAAATCAAATCACTAAAAGGCATGGATATTTGATCTAGAAAATTCAAAACCAAGACACCTATATCAAAAGATCCTATTTTTTTGGGTGTATTGCTTAGCATTTCTCTTCTTTTGTAGTTCACATTAGCATTTCTTTCGGCATGAGTCCTGAAAACATATTGTAATTTGCAAGTGAAAGTTGTCATATAAAGTGGTTTTTTACGTGCGTCTGAAGTTTGAAACTCCTAATTTCCTAAATTATTGTAATACTTTCAAACCCTCCCACTCCTCTTAATATAAATTTTCTTTTTTAAGGAGAATATTAGGATTGACCTCTATATATGAGTTCGTATAACAAATTGGGGGATAAGTTTCATTTTTATGAGAGATCTGATCAATGTGATTAGCAAATATGACAGAAATAGATTTATATAATCATATTAAAGTTGAGAAACTTTTTGGACTGTCATCAAAACACAAATAATATTAGAGCACTGTAAGAACACTTCACCGCCACGGCCACCGCCAGCCACTCCACGAGGGAGGAGCTTAATTATTGCCTCCTATTTCATGAATTAAATAAAGGAGTACATTATACACACTCAAACAACTATTCTATCCTTGAGGTTCATAAAAGATGCTCTTTGTTAAGCCCTATAAAGTGCTTGTTTTGCAAGGTATGATAATTTAGTGGACTTTAACGTAATTTGACTCTCACTGTGTATGTGATATATTCTAGGCTTGCCAATTTATTTCATGATCAGTTAAAAATGTCACAAAATGACACGAGAATAATAAGTTTTTTGTCAACCCGTTAACGGATTGGGTAGTTACTAGGTCACCCATTAAGATAACTAGTCTAACATAACATGATCCATTAGAATAATGGGCATGACACGAAAACAACAAATACCATCAATTTTCCCAAGTTTACTCATTATGCCTCACAATTTATTGCATAACCCGTTAATCCTACATGAAACAACATGAAAATAGCAGGTTTTGGGTCAACCCGTTAACAGATCAAGTTGTTATCGTGTCGTCCGTTAAGATAATGAGTCTGACACAACACAATCCTTTCAGATAACGGATATGACACAAAAACGACACGAACACGAACATAACAACCACGACCTAGTACGGTAGCCATTGAATAATAATTGAATAACTGATTCGTAAGTCGTAGCCTATATGAAGAATTATACGGGTACTAATGTATGGCTATTCCATTATGGACGGATCGGAAAAGAAAACTTATTCGGATTTTATGTTATGGGAAATGTAGTTAGCATACATTACAAGAAAACTTGACAATAGCTATTGACATTAGTTTACACAATGAGGTTAGTAAAGCCTTATCAGTCGTTAACAGGGTGGATATTTCTTTACCCACCTTAGGTCATCTCCAACCAGAGGGTCCAAAGGGCCCGAGGACTAGGCCAGAGGGCTCATGGGCCCCACAAAATCTGAAAGGGCCAAATGGCTAAAGGGCTGGCCGCATGCAGCCAGCCAGCCAGCCCGGGGATAGCCAGAAATTCCAACAATCTTGTCGGATATAACCGACAGAAATATATTTAATATAAATTTATTCCTATCAGTTATATCCGATAGGAATGCTTAAACAAAAATTTGAATCCAACGGCTAGTTGACGCTAGTTACCGTTGGATTTATTTTTTATATATTTTTTTTGGTTTTTTGGGCCAATTTTTTTTTTTAATTCTTAAAAATTCTAATTTTTTTCTATAAATACCTAAACCATTCATTCACCATTCCTCACAAAATTTTCACCATTCCTACACCATTTCAATTCTCATATTTTTTTTTCCTCTTTCAAAAATCTATCTTTCAATTTTTTTGCAATAATTTTCAGATGGCCTCGTCTGCAATGAAAGGTAGGGCTTGGACCCAAAAAGAAGATGAAGCTCTTTGCAAGGCTTATAGGTGGGTGTTGGAAGATAGTGTGAGGGGGAATTGTCAAACAAATGATGGTGTTTGGACTCGTGTGTCCAAAAAATACTTAGAGTTCTATGAAGACACCACTCTATTGAATATCCAGAACCACGAGAGTTGTTCTTCAAGATGGAAGAAACATCTTCAGCCAAGTTTGAACAAATGGCATCAAGCATTGTTAGCAGCCGCAAGTAGGCATGAAAGCGGTGCTAATTACTACGACGAAGTAAGTGTTTTCACAATTTATTTTAAATATTTAATTATATTACATTTAATTTCATAAATTAGTTTCCCTTAATTTTTGTATTTATATTTTCTAGGTGTGCCAAGGGAAGGAATTGTATATGGAGAGCAGATCGAAACTCTTTCAGTTTCACAGTTGTTGGGAAATTTGTAAACGGTGGGTGTTATTTGAAGATCCACCTCAACATAGAGCTCCTACGCCAGTGTTCGGAACTGCATCCTCAGTTGCCGATATGGATGAAGATGGATCTCCTACTATTAACAAACAAGGGTAGAAAATCCGTCTTCGGGTGAAGGTTCCATACCTAAGGATATGGGACGAAACAAGGCGTGAAGGTTGAAGGAAAAGGGTAAGGCAAATGATGATTACGTCGCTCAACATGAAGTGGCGGCCTCATTGCGATTAATGGCTGAGCAAAATGCCCTTGAGGCAGAAGAAAGGAAGTGTAGGCATGAAGAACGGGTCAAACAAATACAAGAAGAGATGGATGATAAGAATATAGAAATGAACACTTCAAATTACACTCCAATGAGTAAGACCTATTTTGATATGAAAAAAAAAAAGAAATTATAACTCGGTGACAATTGTTTACCTTTAACAATGGCGGATGATGAAGATGATGTTGATTATGGATATTAAATTTAAGTTGTTGTAGTTTTTAAATTTAAGTTAATGTTGTTTTTAAATTTAATTTTTAGTTTTAAATTTAATCTGTAGTTTTTAAATTTAATTTGTCTTTTTTAAATTTAAGTTGTAGTTTTAAAATATAAGTTGTAGTTTTGAAATTTAAGTTGTTGTTATTTTGAAATTTAAGTTGTTGTAGTTTTTAAATTTAAATAATAAATTATGTTTGACCCTATGACCCTCGGTTGGAGACGGTTTTTTGTGATAGGGCTAAAATGAGTCCTATGACCCTTTGGTCATTGGTTGGAGATGGAGGCAAATATGACTTTGTACTGTTCTTTAAAATATTAATATCTTGGAGGGCCAGAGGGCTAAAATGAGTCCTCTGGCCAGCCCTCGGTTGGAGATGGCCTTATTATACACTTATTTTTTTGTAGAACTAATGTTAATAACGATTATCAACTTTTTTTTTTTATAGTGATAAAATCCTTTTGCTGTCCGGCCATAAATCTACCATTGAACAAGTAGATTCTTGCTTCAATTAATTTGTTATCAGGATTTGCAGTTAGACAATATGAGCATTTGAACATCGTCAACAACTACGAAATTGTAATTTGCATGCGAAGGTTGCAGTAAAAGTTTCGATTTTTTTTTTTTGGCCATTGTATTAAACTTATCTAATTCAAAACACCGTTACATTCTTCACATTAACAAGTGATGATTGTATCTATCGTATGAATCACATTTTGAACTAAATTATGAACACATTTGGATCCACTTGCATGCATAAAACGAGTTTATCATAAGAATAGCAGTGAGATACCTTTACTATACATTTGAATGAAAGAAATAAACTTGAAATTTGAAAGAAATAAAATGAGTTCACCATAAAAATTATAGTGAGATACCTTCCAGTTCACATTAGCATTTCTTTCTATATATATGTGTGTGTGTAAAGAAAGAAATATATTAGTTCTACTCAAAACAACTATTCTCCCATGGAGCTCATAGAAGATGCTCTTTAAGCCCTAGAAAATTAGAAATGCTTGTTTTGCAAGGCATAACTCCTTTGGTGGGCTTTAACGTAAACGTGATTTTGTACAACAATACTATCCAATGTATTGTATTGGTCAATACTTAATATAAGACTTCATAGCTAAATTAGCGTCAACTGCAACCTGGTTGACAACTTGACATTGATACACAATAAAGAAGATTTTTTTTTTTTTCTCACGGGAAAGAATATTTGAATATGAACCATCAAGAATCATCTGTTCAAATTGACCAAAACAATATATTTTGATCAGTTTCAATGATTTTAGAGGATTTGATTGGATCCCGAGATGTAGAATATGTTAAATTATCAAATAGACAGGTCAAAAACCCACTTCGAACAACATCAATATCGTCATCGACTTGTTAGTTACAACTACCCGCATAGTTCGCTGCCGACCCTAGCCCAGGGCAAGCAAGGCAACTGCACATGGCCTAAAAAGTCAAGGGCCCAAAAAAAAAATTGTACTATCATAATGTTATGTTCTGTAAGGTATAAAACTACGAAACTAGGTAATTTATTATAATGTAGTAGTTGAAGCCGTGTTTTTGCTAACTACTTGCAATGAAAAGGCGCACGGGTTTGAACCCTATAAATTGCATATTTTTTTATGAATCATTTGCCTTTGACGAAAGTGGCTTATAATTTAACTACTTGCAATGAAGTCTTACATTAGGTATTGACCAATACATTGCAAATGATTCATAAAAAAATATGCAATTTACAGTGTTCGAACCCGTGCGCCTTTTCATTGCAAGTAGTTGAAGCAAAAACACTGCTTCAACTACTACATTAAAATAGAATTAATTCAAAAATTAAAATAGAATTAGAAAAAATTCGTGCAATCAATTTTTCTATTGAAGCATCCGAATTTTCTTTCATTCGTATACACAAATTCGCATTTATTCAGGCCAGATATTGTTTCAAAAGCCTGGATTTGGCTAATCTGGAAAGCATTTGAATTCAATGAAAGCAGGCAACCATTATTGCGGCTGGATTTAGCTAAATCTGGAAACTTGGCTTTGATTTGCAATAAATTAAAAAGCAATGGACAAGAAGTTGGTAAGTCTAATCGGGAAAACTTGGGTTCAACAGGTTCAGAATTGGTGATAGCTGATATATTGTTAGTCTCCATCTTATTTCTTATTTCTGAGCTAGTTTTTAACAACAGAAAACAGTAAAAATCATACAAAAAACCTTTTGAGCTGTATTTTTACTACTTTTTTATTCATTAAAATCAATTGAAAACGTACATCTTGCTCATTACTCATGTAACCATGTTCTGGAGCTTATTGGAACATATGCATAAACCAGGATTGGACTTCTAACGCTATGAGTACCATCAGACCAGACCAGTGACCCAGATACTTGTGATCGATCTTGCAAATCGCTTCCACCAACAGTCACGTCAAAATCCATCTGCTCGTTCAAGGACTTGAACGAAAGAACTTCAGGCACCACTTTGATATCAAGTTTGGAGTTTGAAAAGATTTTAGCCCTATATGTGGAGTTCGCAAGGCCAACATTTTTAACTGTTCTATGAAATTGAACCGTGAAAGGTTTCATCGGATCAACTTTAGCTCCCATTAAAGGGTAATTATGATCCCGTGGAGACCATTTAGCAGGATCTTTAGGGCATGTGATATTTTCTCCTGTTATGAGCCTAACTTTTCCTTCATCATAGACTGTGCATAGCAACTTTATATGATCATCTTCAGAAGTTTCGTACACAAGGCCAGGGTTTATAGCCTTTACAGGATCGATATGTCCGAATCCATAAGCAAATACACCGCTAAAAGTGCTGGACGTATCATTTGCGGGGCAACGTATCGTTCATGGGCCAAGCTGCAAGTAGGGAAAAAATAAATTTGGTATCATGATATATGATATTTTAGAATGCCAAAAGAATTAAGCATTAATTAGGTCTTATGAAGGGGGTACCAGTAGTCATAAGAGATGATTTGATGGCAGCCAGAGACCAATCAGGATGGAATGATTTAACATATGCAGCTGCCCCGGCAACGTGGGGGCAAGATACGGAGGTTCCACTTAGTATATTGTACTTTACATGCCTATTGTCTTCTGGATATTCGCTGGCAGTAGCAAAAGTTGAATATGCAGCCAAAATTTCTACGCCTGGGGCACTTATATCTGGCTGAAGCACATTAAAGAATAAATGTTACTACATGTATATGACATTAAGCTGTACGTGACAAGAAACATATACCTTAATAATATCGGGTACAACTAAATTCGGTCCAGTTGCAGACGTGATAGAAACAAGAGGTGCAGCAACATCTTTTATGACTTCACTTTGTAATATCGTCGCTTGAGGGACCCTGTAAAATAAGAGAGGCTTTCAAGAATTTAAAAAGCAACCTGATCGAAAATCGCCAACCTTAACAGAATTGAAATGAATCTATACCTGGTGGAGTTCATGTAGGACTTGACCACATTTAGCTCTTCTGTGATTAAATTCACTCCAGGAAATGGGAGAACTTGAGAAGAAGTTTCGTTCATAAAATTAACAAAAATTATCCCAACTGCCCCAGATCTGTAAGTCCCAGGAATTCCAGTGTTCTTCTCACATACAACTATCTTTCCCTTAACTAAATCAGGGTCCAGGCAACCTTCCCAACATATACTAAAATGCAACGAGAAGTCAGTGCTATAGTTTCATTTTTATTCCTTTATATTCTATGCAGTAAAAGTGAAACGGGGACAAGAATTACCTAGCTAGCATTTGAGAGCAATTTGTTCTTGAAGCATCTTTTCCATATACGAGAGGAAAATTTGTTCCATTTAATGTGAACGTGTTCGTAGAGTGCCCCTGTTTGTGATAAGAACATTAAAAAATATTGAAATGAAAACAATCTGAGCCACAGTATATACAAGTATTCATAAAATGTTTTTATTTTGTTGAAAAAGGAAGTGGATGAGACTTACGACTAGTTTCTTTCCGTTTGCAAGAACAGTGCTGTCAATAATCCGGCGATCTGTGGTACTAGCTGCAACTGTGAATATCCATGGTGCTACACTTGACACAGGACCAACCTTATCACTATTAAATATGGTTCCGGCAGACTGTGAAGTTAGTATCCCTTTCTTCATGGCATGAAAGGCACCAATTGCAACCGGGTCAATATAAAAATGAGGCTCAGAACGAAAAAATCCATTAAGTGAATTTGAAATGAGGTCAACTTCATCGGCAATTGCATCGTCAAAAGCAGCCAAGATACCATCTGAACTACACCCGAAATCAAGATCACAGACTTTATATGCTGCGATTCTCGCAGCAGGTACACCTCCTCCTGCAGTACCGTTTGCTAGTCTGTAGAAGCTTACATCCTTTACAGGACTCCCGGCTACAATTGATGCACAGTGAGTTCCATGACCCCCGAAATCCCTTGCAGAGTCTGTTAAGTAATATCGAGCACCAACGATCTATCTGCAAAACAAACATTTCTTACTGTTGACTAAATGTTGCAAAGTACAAAGGCAAAACCATTACAAAAGTAGTTTAATTATGAAATGAGCAAACTCAACCAAAAGTTTTAATTCGTATAATTGATAACTTTATGCATGTAAATATTGAGAGACATACTTGTTGCAGGTGAAATTTTTGCCGCCTTCACAAACACCTTTCCACTTCTTAGGAGGAGGACCAAAACCTTCATCTTTAAAGCCCTCAGCTTCAGGCCAAATTCCAGTGTCCATCACGCCAACAATGATATCACTTTCAGTTGTGGCATTTCGACTGACTTTCTCATCGAAACCCATAAAGTCCCAAGACCTTGTTGTTTGAGGTTCCATTCTTATGCTCGGAAAGACAGAGACTATTTCTTCCATGTCTACAATGTACAAACTCGATAAATTCTCAAAACCATACCAGTGAATAATATAACTTCTTCTAGTTCATAAGAAAGTATCTCAGCGGACTCACTCGCAATTTTCTTCCTTTCTTGGTCAGTGAGGTTGGCTGCAAATCCATTGAAACTCCTTTTATAACTTCTGACCAATATAGTTTCTGCCAAACTGAGAGAGAGAGAGATAGCAAGGATAAGAACTCGCTCGTGACTCAAAAGACGAAAAGAAAAGAGCAACCTTGAAGATCTAGATAGACTACCTTCCCCGCACAACTCGCTGTAGAATACTAAGGTGGTGAGACAACGGTGAGTACGCTGGATTCCCATCAGGAAGCGATCCCATGTACACAATATGGACCTGCATCAACGACATTGTTATCATTACATTCTATGTAAAAGAAATTACCATTTGTCAAAGACGGCATCTTTCTGTTATTAATGGCAAAAGAAAAGTACGTACCCTTCTTTCCTCGTCAGCGGCCTTGCATAACAAGATCATTGTGAGTAAGAAGAGAGTGAAGAAAGGATAATAACACAGAGAAGCTCCATGCTTAGCCATTGTTCAATGCTCAAAAACTTCATGGGTGGTGAGTGCTTTATATAGTTGGACTAATTAATGACAACCTGTCATCTGTATTAAAACACCCAGATTTTCTTGCATTCCTCCAAGATATGGTAATAAATTTATAGGATTTACTGAGCCTTCAATTTATGTAGTCTAATTGGCATTGGCACTGCCCAGATTCTCTGAGTGCCTTCCATTTAAAGTTACTGGAAAAGTCTGCAATGTTGAAGTAGTGTTTATTGTGATGTTATGTTCTGTTAGAGTATAAAAACATAAAACTGGGAAGTTTATTATACTGCAGTAGTTGAAGTAATGTTTTTGCTAACTACTTGCAATGAAAAGGCGCGCGGGTTCGTACCCTGTAAATTGCATTTTTTTTTATGAATCATTTGCCTTTGACAAAAGTGGCTATTACAAATTCATCTTCAATTAATTGCCACCCTTTGGCAAAAAATAAAAATAAAAATAATAGCCACCCAGCTTCAAATCAAAATGAGGGCCTTTTTCTTTTTAACAATGTTGTTATGTTTCAATATAATGTTAGGGTTTAGGGTTAGTTTTCTTTCTTATCCAAGAAAAATGAGTAATATTTAAATAACATATATGTGATATTTAGTTTTTTTTTTTTCTGAATTTTTTTTATGTTCATTCATTGTTTATAACTTTATATATAAAAATTAGAGATATAAAAACATGACAATTCTTATGAGGCCCTCTATTAGTAAGAGGACAGTAAATTAGAAAAAATATCCTTATATTAGTATGAGGCCCTATATTTGCTTGTGAAATAATTGTGTACCCTTATCTAATTACAACTAAAGTGTAATGTTATGGCTTAGATGTGAAATCTATTCTTTCTTTACTTATAAGTGGAAGGTTTTAGATTTGATTTTCTTAAATGACGAGTTAGATATCGAATTATGGCTAGCTCATCTCATTGCTTAGCAAAATCACTCACATCCTGATATCATTTTATCAAAGAAACGTTACATCTATATGCATAAATATGAACACTAAAACAATTGATTTTTTTTTCTTACATGGAGTTATACCAAGACGCATTTTTTGGTGTTGCCCCGGCCCTTAAAAATCTCAGGACTGAACTTGATAGTTCGACATGTGTTAGATGGAGATGGGTTAAGATATTTGAACTCAACAACCACGTGGAGCCCAGAGGACTCACCCAACACACGGGGCCAAGGGACCTACCATCATTGTGCGGTGCCAATGGGATCTACCCATCACGTGGCAGTATAGGTGCGCTCCCTGGCTCTGATACCATGTCAAATTATCAAAGAAACAGGTTAAATGTCACTTCCAACAACACCGATATTATCCTCAACTTGTTAATTACCACCTGCACAGTTCGACAACTATGAAGTTTTAATCACAAAAGCCCTTGGTGTTAGATGGAGTGGGGTTAGAATATTTGAACTTTTCTTTCTTTCTTTCTACTGCTGAAGTCGGATATTTCAACAGAATAAGGGCCGCATCTAATTTTGTTACATATCAAATATGTGAGGCGTATAACTTTAAGAGAAACTAGAGCAATAGTCCTAAACTATATTTTGCCACATAGCAATTATCTTAAACATACTAAACTAAAAATCCGTTAGTATTGGTCTCTTAACTTGTCAAGTGGAGCAATGATCCTGTTATTCAAAGTAGAGCAAGAGTTTCACTCCCCTTACTCGTACTGTAGGAAAGTCCCGATACTTGGAGTTATGGTTAGCCCACTTGTACGAGCACATAACCTGTAGATGTTTCAATCTCGTTTGCCGACTTTGCCCCAACGAGAACAAATAAAAACCTTGAAAATGAATTAATAAAAAGGTGATGAATTGCCCAGGTGGACTTCCTCTTCAACCCACTAAGTTTCAGATTCAGATACTCAACCTCTTTAATCTAATTTAGAATAGTAATATCTCGTGCAGTAAAATTAATTAAAAATTGAACATTTTCAAAGTAAATCAACGACATGGGCCAAGGGGACAAAAGGCCAGCCCAGCCCAGCCCAGCCCAGCCGAACTGACAAGTTGACGCCTGAGTTCCCTTTCTTCTTTGGCACGAATCGCACCAGTAGGCAGTAGCTCTTCCTCCTTCTCCCTCTCGCTTCTGTAACTACTGTTGTTTCAGTCGGTAACTTCCTCATCTTCTTCTTCTTCGTTTTCTTTCTTCCTATAATTTTATGGTTTTTCTATTTTATTTATTTATTTTAAACAGGCTTTTTGCTGGCTCTACCTTTGCTGCTACCTCTCCCACAAATTTGGAAGCTCGCTCTCACAACACAACCTCAACCATAACCAAAAGTTGCAACAAGGTATCTATCGGAATTTAATTTGAAAAAAAAAATTTCGTTTAGGGTTTGAAGTTGGGGAATTTGATTTAGGATTTAAATTAGGGTTTTTAATTTAGAATTTTACTGGGTTGCTTGTGTTGCAGAGCTGTTCTATGTACTGACATTTTTAATTGGTTGAAATATGGTAGAATTGGGAATGCCCACTTTAACAGAGGTTTCAATTTGGGGTTGTAGTGGTTGATTTTTCGCAAAGTACTAAACTGTTTGTTGGGTTTGATTTGCGGGTTTAGGTAGTTTCATGGATCTAGCAACCCAATCCCCAGTAGGTTCGGTGTTCTAAGTAAATAGTCATTGTGTTTATCAAAAATCGAATTGAAGTGAAACGCGATGCATTGCAATTCTGACAAAAGCTTGGAAACAATAAGAAGATAAGCAGAATGAGAAAAAGACTTCAAATTGAATTACATGCCCCAATTTTATTGCTGTGGTGTTGCTTCCCAATAGTAGTCCAGATGACACCCAACCTCAAGCAACTAGTTAGCCGTTCGTCCATTGTACCCCAAATACCAAAACTTGGCTTTTGTTTCCTTGAGTTAAGTCGTCTGTTGTCTCTGTGTACAGATGTTTTATGCACCAGATAGGCAGACTATGTCATAGAAACTAAATGAATGCCGAGAACATTGTGGAATATGGAAATGCAATGACCGTCTCAAACAAGAGAAAAGATTCCAATTGAAACCAGTAATTCAAAAATTAAAATAGAATCAGAAAAATTCGTGCAATCAATTTTTCTAACTTGTTTAGAAAATTCAGTTTCTGTATGGTTTGGATGCCTTAAACTAATCAAGGCATAGATTAATCCTAAATTGATGACAGAAAAGGCTTGGATTAATCCTATAAGTTGATTTTGCTTCTGGATTTGAATCTTGTTATCCTGTGTTTTACAATATTTGCATTTCATGTTTGTTTCTTGATTTTGTTGTCTTTTAGTTTGTTGTATGCACTTTGAGGGGTAAGGCTCTTTGTGCCCGCATCACTATGTCATCATTCTTGCATATTAATGAAATTCTCGTACATTCGAGTTTTGTTTATGATGATTTATGCCCAAGTATGTTTGTATATGTGTATTTTTGCTGAAGAGGTGAAAAGGAATATTTAGAGTGTTTTGGTAGGTTGTAATGTTATTGAATTATTTATGATTAACTTATTTATCTCATTTTAATCGCCGAGGGTTTAACAATATTGTTTTCTTTTCATTTATTCAGCTTCTTAATATGGATGCGGATGCTGCAAAAATTGCCCGGGAATCTCTTGAACTAGCATTTCAGATGTCCAACATTCTTGACACAGGGCTTGATCGTCACACCCTTTCCATCCTCATTGCATTATGCGATTTGGGTCTCAACCCTGAGGCATTGGCTGCTGTTGTTAAGGAACTTCGAAGAGAAGTCATTCCACTTGCGCCATCAGATGCTGCTCGTCCTGTACTTTGAACTGGTTTTTGTGTTTGGATTGTTCGGTTTGATTCACTTGTTGATTTCTCTGGAACATAAACAATTGCGCGCTTGAAGTATTCATTCGAAGTGAGTCCCTTTTTCTAAGTTCGGGAGTTGTGATTACATCTCATTAGTTGCCTTCATCTTCTTTTCTCAACCCTAATATACTCAGTACAGAATCAACAGCTCTCTCCATCTCCAAAGGCCTAAATTTTCCCTCACTTTCTCACAGATTACTGAGTGCGCGATTAAGTTAGTCTTGTTTGTTCTGTTTCTTGTGTGTTCTTCATGACTTGGTTCATCGGGCGTGAAATATGGCAGAGTTGCATCAAAACGGCGCTCTCGGACCGCAGTCGATCTCAAAACTAGGCTAGCTAATATGTTGTAATGTTTTTACTCACTGTAGATTTCCCATTTAGTTAATTAGCATCTTCTGTTATTGTGGAGGAGAAAACCAGTCTCAGACTAATTGCAACAAAGAGGTAACCAAAAGAAACGAAGTTTCATTGTATTCTAATAAAATACATTACGATGGAAGAACCATTTACCTGTAAGATGCAAAATTAATGTAAAGAATAACAAACTTCAACAATCAAGAAGAAAATGAAAGAAAGAAGCAACAACCAACGTGTTTCACGATGTTTGAACTCAAGACTTCTCACATACAAGTGAAAGACAATTACAGTTAAATCGTTGTACTAAATGGCAGAGGTTCATATTCTCCATCGTTATATGGCTTACTACAACAAATACGTGATCGGGAGGTGAAACCAGCAAGCAGTGCTAGAAAGAGAAACCAACTAATATCCCAGCTGCATCTGGACACGCGAAAAATCCTTGAGAAGAATCTTCTCTCACATTTGTCACGTCATACTCTGGATACCTTAGGGTTTGGAAAGCCGGATCGAAGAAGTCCTCTACCCCATGCACAATCAGTCGTCCGTCGTTGTAGACATCCCACTCAGTGACTTTGACTTGGTTAAGAGAAGCGTATCCGCTAGTGCCGACGGGGAGGGAAGTAACAACGAGAGGATGGCCGAGCAGGAGAGTGTCAACCTTGGAACCGTGACGCAAAGACGCCTCCCTCGCATCTTTGTCCATCTTGAATGGCACAACATGGTACTCAAGGAGTGTCAAGTTGCCGAATCACAGCCTCAAGAATGGTGTCTAGGGTTAGTGCCATGGCGTTAAAGAAAGCTTGGTCTTGAGGGCAAAAGAGGGTAAGAGTGGTATTAGGGTTTATGTTTAGGGTTGGAAGAATCACAGCCTCAAGAATGGTGTCTAGGGTTAGTGCCATGGCGTGATACCCTTTGTCAGAAAGTACACCGGAGACTAAACCGGCGTTGATTCCCGGTGGTTTCAATTGGTTTGCTTGTTCATATGGTTGGACAGCTCGAGTGGTTACAAAGAAAGTTGAAGAGAGAAGTGAGAAGAAAACACAGTGCAGACTTGGAATCCATGTGTGAAGAGAAAAAAGAAGGCAAAGCTAGCAGTATAGTGTTGCAAAGAATTTGGCGACCAAACCTATATATATACATATATATAGTCATAGTCCATGCTTCCAAATACTGCCCTTGTTTTAACTGATATCCAAATCCTGAATGGATTCCTTTTTCTATGAGGGAAACATGTGACATTAATATTTTGCCAAAATTGTATTATTTGAAGACCTAACCGACATTACATATGCTTTTTTTTTTTTTTTGCCAAAATAGTGGGCATTTGGTCTACCGACCAACTCAACCGATATGGGGTTGGATTGGATTGGGTTCTAAATACGAAAAACTTATTTGAGTAAAAACTCGATTACGATTATATATAAGTGAGTTGAAATACTATTAATCGAACTGAACCGAGCCTCTGCATGACAATAAATTGTTGCAAAGAGAGAGTTCTATGGGGTTGAATTAGATTGGGCAACAATTGTGATCTGGTTGGTGATATTTTTCTGTCACTTATTAGGTACGGAGATGGGACATAATGGAACAGAATGGAACGGGATAGAATAGAGGTTCAATGCCACGTTTGGTATGCGCATGCTTGAAGGGGACAGTTTTTTAGTTCCGTGTTTGTACACACAAGGCGGAATGGACGAGAAGATTAAATGACCAGCGTACTCATGTTTTGTCTGTTATTTGGTATAATGTTTATGAGATGGATGGGATGGGACGGTTTTTTTATTGTTGATTTTTTAACACATATATGCTTAATTATGATATGTTTGTTACACTAACACTTATTGAATATTAGTACCTAGGAGTGGGCAATTAAAAAAAAAAAAAGCTGACAAAACCGACCAAACGGCACCGACGGTTTAGTTCGGTTTGATAAGCGGTTCTTATAATTCTTGGACATCGGTTAACCAAACAAACTTGTGTGTTTGCTTTTATTTGTTTTAATCATAATAGGCATACCATGTACCCATCACAACAAAACAAAATGTGGTAGTTTTGCGAACTCTTGTGCAAAGCTTATGCTTCTGTGTTTACATAATTATTACATGGGTAGATTGTTGGAGTGTAGGAAGTGCTGGGAAAGTTACTAGAGGCTTGGAAGTATGGAACTTTTGGAACTTTTTTATCTTTTTGAAACTTTTGGGACTTCAATTCTTAATTATCTATATGTAATGCTTTCTTCAGTAGAACTTTTGAACTTTGAACTTTAAGAATGTCTGAATGTAACATTTAAGTATCTATATGTACTTTCTTCCCCAGTAGATCTTTTGAACTTTGGAACTTTTGATATTTTGAAACTTTTGGATTGTAATATTTTGAAAACTTGGACCTTTGATGAATTTCTTTTTTGTAACTTTAAGAATGTTTGAATGTTAAACTTTGAATTTAACTAGTGTTCATACAAACCGAAAACTGACCCAAACCAACCCGCCATTGTCGGTTAATCGACATTATCGATTTTAGGCCTAGCTTGATCGGTTTCGGTTTGCAATTTTGACTTAACCAACTAGGTCAGTTTGGTTTTGGCTTTGACCCAAAACCGACCCGACCCAACCCAACCCGCGCCCACCCCTATTAGTACCTATTCAAAAATGCAGCAGGTAATGAAAAAGTTTCGATATATTGATTGCAAAACAGATGGTGCTTGAAATTGATAGATTCTTGTGACCTAAAAAAAAACAGATATTCTAGAACTTATAAATATGCAAATAAGGGAAGATGCAATTGGACCATTTGTCCTGACTTAGTAAAATTACTGTATTGCTAAAACAATAATGAAAGTTTCACATACTAAAACAGTTCATCCTACATATAGCATAGGATACAATTCATCGTCCATACACATCTTAATAAAATATAGCTTGTGTGAGTCATTTAAGGTACACCAAATACGCAACAAATCAGTATCGTTCACTAATGTCATTGCAAGCTAAATCCATAAGAGCGTAGGTAAAAACCGTTCACGAAATTAAGTTATAACAAAGAATTCACAAACAAACAAAATGAGGGGCAAATTGATAATTCGACTCATCTATATGTACCAGGCCCATCAGTTGCACCAGTAATTGTGGTGTGTGTGACGTGTGTCAAATGTGTAATCGCAGGGTTCAAGCGACAACATTTTTCCGATCAACTATATAGGGAAGACGGACAACCTTACGATATAATACAACAGTAATTGCAGTTAAAAGGACAGGCTGAGATCCTAATGATACAGTACTAGGTAAATGGAAGATGGTAATTTGAATTTTGAAAGGAAACTTGGTATACTACCATCCGAAATGCAGAACTTGTTATCTACCTTAGAACTATGGAAATTTTAACAAAACACTTCCGAAACTGTTCGTTTTTAACGAAAAACCACATTTTAACCTTTCCTGGGTACTATTCACTACACATTTATTTGCCATTTTTCTTTAAAACTAGAGTTTTTTTGGACTTTTCGTTAGTTTCCTTAGAACTAAACCATTCATCTGAAAAAAATACTTTCCACCATCAAAGAACTTTAACAGACATCGTACATCAACATCCGTCAACGGAAAAAACAGACGTTATAAAGTAAGGAGTCTAAAACTGCAGGGAATAAACCATAACAATTCTCTATCTGGGCCACTATTGAAATATAGGGAGGTCAATCTTTGTTTGTTGGTCTGAACTTAGATCTGCTCCAACAGCAACGATGCTACTTGAGGCTCCTTCTCCGGTTTCAGTTGACATCTTCAAGAAGTAACTATGCCTGCGATATTAAACATTTAGAGCCTCGTGTGAATTTCGGAGAATGGCTGACAGAGTAAGCATACTTACCATCGAGTGTCTGCTGTCAATTCAGGATGGAAGGCAGTCGCCAGCAAATTCTTTTGTCGAACTGCTACAATCACTTTATTCTCAGACACAGGATTCTCCTGGAATGTCAAAAAGTAATAAGAAAATAGCATCAAAGAAGGTAAAAACGAACTTAATATATTCCAGCAGCATGCCGTCATTGGCAATTTCATTTTAGACGAATGATGATCTGGTTTTGTGTAGCAATAGAACTGCATATTTGCACACCAGAACAGAATCTTTGATAGTGTCTTTTGATATATACTGCAGAATCAGTGTTACCGACGATAGATTTCTGTGCAAAATCTAACTACACAATAAGTGTTATAAACACATGGCATAACCAGGTTTGTGAGTGGTGATTCTAAGAGCCCAAAACTAAGCGAGATGATGAACAGATCAAATTATTCTAGTCTGATTGTAATCAACAACTTTCAATCATAGACATATACTTAAGACAAGACCACAAGAAATTTACAGCTTCTTGTATAAGAAAATGTACTTTTGAACGTAACTTGCTCGGCTATAATGAACTTGCAAACTAACTACCGTATTTTAGAAGAAATGAACCTGATTTTTCCACTCCTTCGAAAGAAAATCCTATATACCCTATCCACAAATAATAGAACTGCCAACCACTGACGGAGCTGGTTGAACTTACCCAACTATTACATATTAGATGTTTTATGGTTTACAAGGAAATATGGTTACTGAAGATGCAAATGAAGCTGCCTACCTGAATGAAACAAATGAGGCTCGACTAAAGACTGAATATACAACAGTATAACTGGTAAAAAATTCTATAGACAGGAGAGAACCACAAACCTCTTGAGCTTCAACTGTGGAATTTGAATCCAACACCTTATTGGACGGGACAGGATAATCAGCCAGCACTTCAACTTCTGGTCCTACGTCAAGGATAGCAGGAGCACGGATGAAAACCCCACGAAATACTTCAGGACCACCTTCTGTAGAAGCAAGCTCTGGTACTGCAAGTTCAGCCTCAAAGCTCTGAATCTGTAAGTTCGTGTTTTAGGAAAAGCAAAACAATTACCACACAGAATCAAAATCATGTAAACTTATGTGTTACAACAGATGGTTCCCTAAATAAGTCAGTTCCTCACATCTCTTGTTCCTTTTTTATTTATCTATTTAACGTTAAAACCAGGTACGGACCCAAGTGGTGGTTTGGGTGCGCTACACCCATCTAAACTAACTTCTTTTTTCCACCAAGAATACGTATTATCCCAGCCCCTCTTGCCCTCCTCCTTTCCTTTATCTAGTTTCAAAGTAATATCTAGTCATCAGACAAGTGTTTGACCTCCACCAGATGACACCAAAAATATAAGTAATGGAGCCAATATATTAGTCCATTAGCTCCATGCTCTTTTTTCCAAATACTAACCCTATGAAGTACCCATAAAAGCACATGAATAAAGTTTCATGCAAGTGTTTTATTCTCTTTTTATGTCTGTGCTAGTAAAATAACCACCACTGGACTCCTTAGATAAGACAGTGACGTGGTTTTTTTGTGAAGAAATAGTGGATGTCTTTTTTTTTTCTTCTATACATCATATATTTCATCATAATCTAATACATCATTCAGGTCCAATATCGCGCACAACTTTCAAGATTACATGAATGTGTGACCTTCTAAAATTTAGAACTACGGAATCCACAGTTTCCCATAAACAAGCACAGGAACATAATTGACAGATGAGACTACAGGTAACAGAAATGATTTTCAAACACAGTTCAACCAATCAAATACTCTGTGCCACGTACAACTCTTTTTTTATTAACTTTCCAAAGTAAGGAAGTCTAGGACTCTTTTTTTTTTTTTTTTTTTTTTTTGAACACGAACTCTAGGAGACTAGGACTCTCTTACCATGGTAAATACTGACAAATTTACTAATGCAACATGTGTCTCATCATTTTGCTGCATATGGCATATCTGGTCTTGATAAGCACGCTTAACTTGAGAGAATACAGAAGTCAGTGCATTACCTGACTGCCAAAGAAGTTTCTGTGAACAGTGCAATCTAGGCCGCCAACAAGTTCCTGTCCTCCTATTTTCTGTCCTGAAAAACATGCCACTCGTCTCAATTATAAAGTTAAACTTTTGGTAACTTTCATTTGTATTGAAGAAGCAAAATAAAATTCAAAGATTCATAGCAGAAAAGAAGGAAGGAAATGAACCTGTGGCTTTGTTTGCTAAGAAAATAAGCCCTGCACAGGTCCCCCAAACAGGCTTCCCCATTTTAACAAACTCGCGCAAAGCAGGAAACTGTGAACAAAATACATGCATAAATAATAACCAAATATGAAAACGAAGAAAATGTCCGAATTCCTAACCATCTGGTAAGCCAAAAACATATTACAGTATACAAACAATCAGACAATACACAAATATTTAGCCAAATTCCTTTTGTGCAAATACGAAACAAAAGGTGGTGGTTACATTTAGCCAAGTCATTTGCTTTTTCAATCAAATAAGGTTATAATCTATTTTCTCCTCCTTTTTTATCCCCTCTGTTGGAGCTTTAGTACAAAAGGCAAACCAAAATTGTTCATACTCGGTTAATAGCTCTCCTAACCCACAATTACTATTTAACAAGACCCATTACCATTTCTTTCTCTTAAAAATTACAAATTTAATCACTTAAAAATCAAAACTATACAACTTTTTACCGGAAATTGAAGTTCTATAGCCGTCATTTACACATTAACCCAAGAATTAACATACATAAAAGTACTAAATAAATCAACACAAACCCAGAAGCATAGAGAGAGACCAGGTTGTGGTACTCAGCGAGCTTAGCCATGGTGGTGCTCTCGCCTCCAGGGATTATAAGGGAGGCCACAGATTCAAGCTGCTCCGGCTTCCTTATCTCTACGCCCTTCACCCCAAGCCTTCTCAGAGCTACAACGCACACACAAACACACAAGCAGTCAGCAAAAACATATATCGAATGCATATGCTGCGAGAGAGGGGGCGGGCGGCAAAAAGGGAGTGCCTGCTATGTGTTCGTTGAAAGACCCCTGAAGAGCAAGCACGCCGACGAGGGCCATTTTTGCTCGACGGCTCGGGGAATTTGGGCCGACGATACAACAAACAGAGCTTTTATTATGTAGAGAGTCGAGGGAAGGAGAGAAGGCGTAAAGCGATTGAGCGCACTGCGCCTCTCGTTTCCTGAGTGGCTCCACTTTTTGCCCTTTTTAATGAATATTTAAGTTGTTTACGTAGTAAAATGTTACACGTTTGAGGTCATGGGTTCACTAATCGCTAGGAAATATCGAGTGCTATTCCTGGTTGTTAAAGAATTTTCGGTTTAGGTGTCTCGAGTTTGAAACTTTTTTTTAAATTATTGTAATAGTTTTAAAGTAGATTATCTTAAAATATGACTCTCCATTGAATTTTTGTTACTTCATGTTTATGACACAATGTTTTATAATGTTGGAATTGTGCAAAAAACATGAGGTGACGGAGAATTCATGAAGAATCGTACTTTTAAAAGCGTCTCCTTAGCATTTTCATATATACATGGCAGACTGATCCCTTTATGGTCTTAATAGAACGAAACTGTGCTCTGATACCAAAAGTTATTCCTTATCAGTTTACATGACCCCTACATTGTTTCCCACCTCCCAACATTCCGCCAATCTCCAACTAGACAATCGTGTGTTTCTACCCATTTGTCAAATATCTTAATGGATATGATGTTGGATTTCTACTTATGCGTCTGGGGTTTGAAACTTCCCCCTCCTTTTGCTTAAGTGTGATGTGTGTGTGACACTGTGTTATGTCAAACACCATAAAGCAAGAGCATCTTATTAATCACTTCTATTTTTTTATGTTGCAGATGGCTATTGCAACTCCTACGTAGAATGATGATATATGTGTATCCAATACCCAGGTCATTACGATTATACGTCTGAAAAGAAGCTTCAGAATACTCTTTCTTGCCAGAATTCTTAAAAATATGTAAGCTGGCTTCTGTATACTGAGAGATGGCCTTCTCTTCTTTCAACATCTATAGTGCAGAAAGAATTACGCGACACGGCGTTTGATCGGCTACAGACTGTTCCTTGCGTGATGGAATTCGGATGCATCATTTGCTCATACGTGTACATTGTATCTGGTGTTAGAGAAAGTGCAGAATTTTAAAAAATTGATCAGAGTCCACCGCCGGTGACTATCATTTCCTCCATTGCTTCTTCCATCAGACTCTTATGCTTTCAAAAGTATCAATAGACAATGTCATTAACAGAATTATCACCAAAAAGCAAAGGAGAAATTAAACAAGCCATAAATATGTCTATGAATTTCATATCAGTTCAGATACTCCGCTTCTCCAACATATTTCATCATCATAAAAGAGTAACATAAAATTTGCTCTACCACTTGAATCGATGCATGACCAAATGGCTACCTGAACTGGACTCCGCAGTGGAACAACTCCCTCTAATGCAGCATTCAAGGGAAGGATGCACCGAAAGTTGTCAAACTGCAAAGATGCAAATCAATTTCACCCTGGTCTTTCTATAAATGCCAACAAAGCGGGATCTACTTTATCTTTAGACAATAAATTAATGACCAACTCCATGGTTGATGCATCTGCAGAAAAACCCCTCTCCACCATTTCTTCAATAAGCCTCACTGCTCTTGATGTCTCATTGTTATTGATTAACCCACAGATAATTGTGTTGTACGTGCAACCATCTGGAGAACAACCTTTCTCTTCCATTTTTCTAAGCAAGTTTTCTGCTTCACATGTTAGCCCCCCATTACAAAATCCACTGATCATTATGGTATATGTCCTGACATCAGGTTGAATTCCTTTTATTGATAAACTACAAAGGAGATCCCATGCATATTCAACTTTTTCAGCCATGCACAAACCTTCAATAAGAATACTGTAAGTTACAATATTAAAATCCAACTTCCTTCCCTCCATCTCTTCCAACAGTTCAACTGCCTTGGGAAATTGTTTGTTTTTACAAAGGCCATCCAGTAAACTAGAATAAGTTTGAATATCTGGAAGTTGGCCTAAAGCTTGCATTTCAGAGAACAAGTTCTGTGCATCTTGTATTCTTCCCATCTTGCAAAACCCATCAATAAGAGTGCTATAAGTAACCGTATTCGGAACAATTCCCTTATGAGACATTTCCAGAAAAAGGATTCGGGCATCATCTACCATTTTACGCTTACAATAGCCGTTTATCAATGTGCTATAACTATGAGCATCAACCATGCAGGCCTTGCTAAGCATTACCTTAAAAACATTTTTTGCCTTGTCCATTTCTCCTCGCATACAATACCCATCCATAAGTGAATTGTAAGTAATCGTATTAGGTTCGATATCTCGTTGAATCATCATTTTGACCACGCTCTTTGCTTCTTGGACCATCCCCTCTTTACAGAATGTATCAACCAGTACACTAAAGGTGAACACATTTGGAAAGATATGTTTACTCACCATTTCATTCAACAATCTTGTAGCTTCTTTCCAATCCTGTAATTTGCAAACTCCATGAATCAAAGAGGTATAGGTCATGACATTTGGGGCAATACCCTTACTCGTCATTTCTGAGAAGAGGTTATGTGCATCAGCAACTAGAGTATCTTTGCAAAGACTGTCGATAATCATGCTATAAATAACTAGGTTAGGCTTGCAACCCCCTTCTTCCATCTTCCTAAGCAATTGGATTGCGGCAGTGTTGTTACCATTTGCGCAAAGGCCCTTTACTAGGGTACCGAAAGTAACCACATTCGGTTTACAATTACCACTGTCCAACATTTTCTTGAAAAGTATTGCTGCCTCAGCCACTCTATTCTGGAGAATAAAGCCGTTGATTAGAATGTTGAAGGTCACGACATTTGGTTCAAAACCCAATTTGAAGACGTTTCCCAAGATAGACAAGCCAAACCCCATTTTCCCCAAACGACAAAAGCAATTAATGATAATGTTTAGTGTATAAACATTAGGACGAATTCCGGAAACAACCATTTGGTTATTCAAGGAGATGACTGCCGAATAATGTTTCATCTTGGCAAGTTGAGTCAAGATTTCGTTGAAAGGGAAAACGGAAGGCAGAGTACACCTTTGAAGCATTTCGTCGAACACATTGAGAGCATCCTCAACATTAGTGATTTTCACAAGCTGGTGTTTTTGGGTGTTTCTAGATTCGGTCGATTTAGAAGCTCGAGAATGAAACAAAGCCAAGTAATTGTTGAAGAAAACAACAACAACAGAAGAAGAATGAAGAAGACAGGGCAGCATACCTCTGAGTCTGAGTCTGGTGGTGCTGCTTCTGCTGCCATAACCAAACTTCAAAGAAGAAGAAGCAGCAGCAATCGTTGCTCGCATCATCATCAGCATCTCTAAATCAGCGATTCAGTTCGTTAATCCTCCACAACAGAGTCTACTCGGGAATAAACCACCCTTGTTGAGAGTGATGGAAAATGCTCTCCCTTGAAATAATGAAATCAAAATCCCATGTTGCTTCAGATAGAGTCTACTCTTGCGAAATATATAAAGACTCGATTCTGCATAAATATCCTAACAAGATACAATTGCTACTCTAAAAAACGTTTTGGTTATAATGCCACAAATGATGAACACAACCAACGTCAACTTGGTAAATTTAATAATTGATGGGGCACCTTCACATCATTTACGACCTCAAATGGTAGTTCAAAGAGTTATCAATTCGGTCTTATAGCATTTGCATATACTTTTTGAAGGCTTGTAAAGAAGAAAATCGTATTTTTTTCAATTCAATCATGACCATTCATATTCCGTACTTTTAAATAATGAAATCAAAACCCTATGTTGCTTCAAATATAGTCTACTCTTGCGAAATGTAAAACCCAAACAATTGTAATCTATCTACCACCTTGGAGAACAAATATATAAAGACTCGATCTTGCATAAATTTCTTAACAAGATACGATTGCTACTCTAAAAAAGCTTCGGTTATAATGCGACAAATGATGCACACAATCAACATCAATTCGGTAAATTTAATAATTTATGGGGCATGTTCACATTATTTATGACATCAAATGCTAGTTCAAAGACTTATCAATTCGGTCCTATAGTGTTAGAATATACTTCTTGAAGGCTTATAAAGAAGAAAATAATATTTTTTCAATTCAATCATGACCATTCATTTTTCGTATTATTAAATAATGCAAACTATTAAAGAAAATTGTGAGAAAAAGTAAAGAAATATTATGTTTTAAGTTGGAATATTGTAGTACTAGCATTATTTTAATATGAAAATAAGAAAGATAATATGCAAGCCTTAGTGAGAATTTGAAGTAAGCATGAAAGTATAAGGGTGTGTTTGGAAATGTATTTTAAATAATTAAAAAAATGTTTTTGATAAAAGTTTTTTTGGAATCAATCATTAATAAAGGGTGTGTTTGGAAGTGTATTTTAAATAATTAAAAAAAAATGTTTTTGATAAAAGTCCTTTTGGAATCAATCATTAATAAAAGTCAAGTACATTATGAAAAAAAAAATACTTGAAATGGTTTTTGGAAGAAGTACATAACTGGTGCACTACACAAATTGTCTTTGTATTGGTCTCGTCGTATGTAAACTTTTCATTATCTTTACTCTCTAGTATATTTCTTATGTTAGCTCTGCCAGCCGTTGCATATTCCGGTCGTTTCAAGACTTCAAGTTGAATAATCTGGTTGGTTAAGTGAAACAAAATAAGTAACAAAAATGGCTATGGTTACTACCTGTAGACCACACCAATAATATTGCTACTAGTAGTTAGTAACCATTCAAATGTATGATACACACACACACACACACACACACACACATATATATATATATATAATGCTTATTTTTGGTTCAGTATGGGATTATCCAAAAATTGAGTAGATAATATCAAATCTCGTACCGAAATTTTGGAATCGGTTTGGTATTTCATCCAGAAATTTTTGGGAATTTTGGTTTGGAATCGAGATTTTTTTTGTTCGGTTCGGGATTTTTGGGAAATTTCTTCTAGCCCTAGTCCTCTGCGTGGAATTTGATTGCTCTGAACTGCTTAAATTTTCTGCAATATGAAAGCCTTGGAATTGCTATGGTTAATGTGAATGAAAGAATTGTTGCTGGATGCAAGATCTAGTTTTACTTTATTTTCCTTGCACGTCTTTAGATATAGTGCCGCCTTGTATGTCTTGATTGCAACCTGCAAAAGCCAAAGTTTTTAGCATGTTTTTGTCAACTTATTTTCCTTGCACGTCAATAGCATGTTTTTGTCAACTTAGTTTTTAGCAATAGAAGTTTCTGCGATTTTTTTTTTTTTTGAAAAGATAAGAACTTTATCCAACAAAATAAATGCTTTTTCGAATTAAACACACTCTTTAGGCAAACAAAAAATTTCACAGCTAACAATTTTTACAAAAAATAAAATAAAATAAAAAGTTAAAAATACAAAATTTTAAATCGAAAGCAAAATGTATTTTTTGGATATTTTCTAGTTAGGGTTAAAAAATTGGGCTGCCTCTCAATGAGCACTTTAGTAATGTCTATAGCTAGACGTATCAGAAGTTCAGTGGTCTAAGTGTGGTTTCAACTTGTGATCATTCACATTGAATGTGTTACCACTTTACTCATTAATAATGTTGACAGCCCTATGAGGATAAACATTACTAACCTGGTATTGCCCATTCCAATAGGACTTCAACTTCCCTGAAAACAACTTCAACCTTGAATTAAACAACAAAACTTTATGCCATGGTTTAAACTCTTTTCTGAATTTGATTATCATGAAATGACTTAGTTTTCTCCTTGTAGAGCTTCTCACCTTCATATACCTCATTACAAAGTTTGTCCAGCTCCTTGAATTGCAATTTAAGCTTATCACCCGCATAAAAATAGGCAAACTTTAGCTGTTTGATAGCCTAGTACGCCTTATGCTCTAGCTCTATAGGTAGATGTCACTCTTTACCATAAACAAGCCATAATGGAGGCATCCTAATTAGAGTTTTATATGTTGTTGTGTACACTCGTAGAGCATCGTTTAATTTCATGCTCTAGTCCTTGCGAGTAGAGATGACTGTTTTCTTTAGGATGCGCTTTATCTCTTTGTTGGAGACTTCAACTTGCCCAAACATCTAAGTATGATATGCAGTGCCTACATGATGGGTGATCCCATATTTTGCAATGAGTGCTGCTAAAGGTTTATTCAAGAAGTGCTTACCTACATCATTGATAATAGCTCTTGGAATATTGGAATGTGAAAAAATTGTACCTTAGAGGAAATTCAGGACCACTGGCCCACCTAATGGTGCAGGCCCCAGGAAAGACCTAGGAGTCCAAGGTCTAAGAGAAAATGAATGACATACTTACTGATGTCGGAGTCCAAGGTGGGGAACTTTATCCATTTCCAAAATACCCTGCTCCAGGAAAAGTATGACGACCTCCTGATACAAATCAATTAGACGAACAAGAAGATTGACAGGACATGCAAGTAAATGGCTCGTCCTCTCCTTGGGATGTTAGGAGTGGAGACAAAGATGCTCGTGAAGTCATCAGCAAGCACTAGGAGGCTTGATGAGAACTTTGGTCGGTCCGCATCACCTGAGAAGCACCCTGAGAGAAGTTATGGGTTAGGAAATAAAAAAACTTGTGGTATCAGCTTAGAGACATTAAGAAATCGTCCAAACTAAAGAACCTTGATTATTTCGAGGAGGAGATGTTACTGCCATTCTCCAAATAGCTAATCAACAAGTCTACAAGCGGGGACACCGAAGCGCTTAAGATGGAAAGCTACGAAGGGTATACTAATCCATATAACCATCTCTATAGGTTCATATACGCTATTAACGGTCGAGAAGACAACGATGCCACCAAATGCAAGCTATTTCCGATTACCCTCAGTAAAGTTACTTGGGATTGGTTCAAGCAAATAGCCCCAGTGTCTATACCTCTTTCTTGGGATTGAGTTAGGTTTTCTTGAACATTTATGTAATCATCTTTAAGAGGCAGTACACATCGACTGGTCTTGCCTGCGTGAAACAGAGTCCAAATGAAACCCTAAAAGATTATATATCCAGATTCAAAGAGTACACCAGATGCAAAGTGTTTGGGTTAATATTTAACTTTGGGCTTAGAGGAGAGAAAGTCTAAAAGAGTTTAATAAAAGGAGTTTCTACCCGAGGCCCAACACCAAGCCTAGTTGCTTATTTCAAGACAATAACGGCTCCCCATTAAATGCAAATGTTAGGTGCTTACAAGGGAAGTGACAACTAATGGAAATCAACCAACTTTTGGCCCAAAAGTACTTTCTGAATGGTAGGACATGTAAAAAAAGCAATGACTCACTACCCTTCAGTTGCTTTGGGGCAAAAGCAAAAATAGTGAAGTCAGACTAATTCGCCTATAAAAGGGGGAAAAAGGGCTCAGAGACAAAGACACTCAATCAATCAAACAAACAAACATATAACTTGTCTCTCAATTAAGCAAATACCCAGACAGTCGTGCTTTATCTAGACTCTGCACCCTTTTAGCCTTAGATTTCCTTAGAAGGATGTCTTTTGTCCATGTAAAAGCTCTGCTACATTTTCCTATATGCTATAGTATCGATCTCTTTTGTATAAACTCTTTACCAGTCATCCCCTTTAGCATTCAATGCTTTTGTAACTGCAAAGAGAAGAGACTGCAAGACGTTTAACCTTGCCCGACAAGGTGAAATCTTGCTCGACTCTCTTTGTTTTGTCTTGCAATTAATAGATCTGGTGTTATAATGCATTCTCCAGTTTGTATTCAAGTTATTTCCAGTCTTTTGATGACCCAAAGCCCCATCAGTTCTTAGATTTGGTTCACTTAATGGTTTGGTCGTCACAAGAAGATTAAAATGAGTCAAATTGATGACTTGATTAGATTTGGACCTTTACCCCTTAAGCATACAAAATAACTAAAAGTCCTTGATCTTAAGGCATAGAAAAGAACTTAATGTAGACTTGAAGTTAGAAATAACTTGGGGCGCAAGGAATCAGCTTAAAACACACTTGTTCTACATCTGCCATACAGAGATGGCAGCGGCACGCCTAAAAACTTAGTTGGTTTGATTGCGAGCCTCAAGGCCTACACTTAAGGCCACACAAAGGCACATTTCAGAATTAACTTTGTTCTCCTCTTGTAGCATTGCGACAAGCAGGAGCCCGACAATCAACCAAAGTGCCAACTCTTAGGGGAGTTGTGTGCTCAAGCCAGGAATAGCCGCTAGCCAGATTTCTTGCCTGAACACAAAAGATGTGATAAAGCGACAAAATAATGCCTTCATGGAGGATTTGCTGGTGGCGATTTCTACTTCCATCTAACTCAGAATCCCCCCAAAACTTTCAGGAATTTGCTCCGTGAGTTAACCAATTACTCCTGAGCTGAGCAACTTAACAAGACAAGGATTAACAAAACAAGGATATAGATAACTGCCACATCAACAAGGATTAATAGGCCAAGCATGTCGGCTAAGGACGAGCATGTTGCCTAAAGCCAATCAGGAAGTTGTGTATGACTGCCCGTCAAAAAAGAAAAAAAAGTATAAGAATTACTAGCCCAACACAGAGAGTCATTCTGAGCGACATGACAGTTATAAGTCATACACCCTCATGAATACGTCTTAGAGGGAGATGTTCCCTTTTGTGAAGCATTAACTCCCTACCACTTGAAGGGTGAAAATGATTTTCGCAGGCAAAAAGATGATACCAAAAGTATTGTCGGTATCAGAGAGACCACGGCCACGTTGTCAACAACTGCATGGATCTTAAGGATGACTTATAACCACTCGTTTGATGGCGACTTATAGAATATGTAGCCAATAGATCCTCGGCCCAACCTAAGTGTTATCTCGGCATTGGGTGCCACTGCAAATTATGATCCGGTAAGAAGAAAAGTGATCTAGACTT